TGCACCTATAAAATGATATCCCTGGGCTTTGAAATCAGCCCCACTTGCTCTTCCATCAGCTGGGGGAAGACAAGTAACAGAAACCTGCCCTGCTCATTCCTCTGCCCCACCCCCACCCTGCCCCTTAGCCTTCTATCTGGGATAAGGGAGGAAAAACTGGGGAAATGAGAATGCCATGCAGAGATAATCTCTAAAACAGGCTGGGGCTTAGGAACCATTTCGTATATGCTTCCTGATTCTCAAATGTTACATTTTTTAGAAAGTGAGAGGTCACAGGTAGAATGCGTGAGGCTACTTTACATTGGACTAATTGTGCTTTTCTGAGGACAGAAGTGGAAGGGGGAGAAATATCCACACTTACACTTCCTAGAATATTTTAACAAGTAGCCATGGGATCTCTTATTACGATCTAAAGAAGGGTGGGGGGAAAGTTACTTCCTCCACTCAGATCTAATTTCCATACTCAACTTTCCATCTGTCTAATTATTATACATCACAAGAGTGCTTGAAACCTGGAGAACTCCTCTCCATAAATTTTACCAGAAAGCTTCTTAACTCAAGTGTGTGAGAGAAGGTTGGACCAGGGAGAAGGGGAGACCCAAAGGAATCAGCACTGAACTTCAAAGAGCTTTTTATTTCATGATTAGAGAATTCTCATTAGGATGTGCAATATGAAAGCACTGCCCAACTCACCCTCCTCCTTCCGGTAGCAGTGGGCAGAATTGAGTATGGACCTCTGGACTGTACCTTATGTCCATGCCCTTTTCACATTCAAAAGGGAAAAGTGTGTTGTGTTACTTTTGCCTTAAATGCTTACAGACTGTAGGCACACATGCAAAGTGTTTGATCAGACCCCTTTAGAGATCGAGGTCCCTCTCTGTGCAGTGACGGGCAAACCTGTCTAAATGAAACCATCCTCCAGAATGGCCGCTCGTTTCCACAGTGCAGTAATGAGCTCCTTGGGGAAAAAAAAGCAGTGAACAGGGATACATCACTTTGAGTAAGCCAATAAGTGTGAAAATTTAGATTCGCGAGCAGGTAAAGGAGGTGAGAATTACTCAATTCCTTTTTACTTCATTAAAAGTTGTCCAAGAAGATTCACTTAATAGCGAGTGTTCCATAAATATGTTTTAAAGTATCTAAGTCACAAGTATTTGATTTAACACAGTTATCTGGGAAATGAAACTGGAGCAAATGACTGGTACTTCTCAAGCACTATTGTGTCCTAACCAGCTTATGCAATGCTGTTTATGTTTTTCTTATTCACACCTCAAAAATTTACTGAGCATCTACTATAACCCAGGTACTATTCTAGGTGCTAAGGACACAAACAAATGAAGTATATCAAAAACCCCTTCTTGTAGGGCTGAAGATCTAGTAGAAGATACAGAAAATTCGTAAATGAGGAAACTGTACAGTGCACTGGAAACAGAAAAGTTTAAGGAGAAGTAGGAAAGATGAGAAAATGAAGCAAATGGCAAGAGAGTTTCAGAAGTGGGGATAAAGAAAAAATGGTAACTAAGTAAATTGTATAGTAAACCTGAGAAGAAAAGCCACGTAGAAAAACACAAGAAATAAGGGAGGAGTTTGGAAAACGGGGGGAGGAGGGATAAGACATTATATACATACTCAACCTGAGAAAACTTACTCAGAACCTGACCCCTAGGTAAGGACCTGAACAACATGAAGGAACATCCATTAGGACAGCGGGGAGAACTCTGCAGGCCAGGGGAAAGGCTGGAGGAAACGCTGAGATGGGCCCATGCCTGGAGGTCTGAGGAAGAAGGAGACCAGTATCTTAGAGGAGAGCTGGGGGGCGGGGCAGAAGCTGAAGGCAGAAAGGTGGGGTGGGATGCAAGGAGCACACAGACCACCAGAAGGATTTGTGCTGCAACTCAAAATGAGTACGGACCCCAGGAAGCAGGAACCTTGCCTGATCTCTGGCTGCCATGCTGAGAACAGACTCCGGAGGGACAAGGGAAGAAGAGGGGGAACAACCAGTCAGAGAGCTGCTGCAAGGCCAAGGAAATCAGCACCTCCACCTGTAAATGCACATGAGGATGACAATGCCTGCCTCCTAGGATGGTGCCAGTTATTAACAAAGGACGGCCCTATTTCTCCAGTTCTGAGACACATTTTTCCTATCTCAGCATCTCAGAAACCAGAATGTGCATGAGAGCCAGCCTGACCACCACTTCCTGCAGCAGTCACGGAGGCTGACCCTGCGTGTGCAGGTATGAACATGGTCCCACCGCTCATATGCACATGGCAATCAAGTTACACACATTGCTTGTACATATGTGGCGTTCGACTACCATTTTAAAATGTCTTCAAAAAAATTCTGCTTTACAGGCCAGAAGCGTAGTTCATAAAGTATCTTTTGTCTGGCATGCAAGAGGTGGAAGGTTCTATCACTAGCACCGAAAAAAAACATGTTTTATAAAATAATAGCAAATCAAGGACGAAGCAGCAGGGCATGAATATTAGTGAAGAACAAATTCAACTTTGCGGTAGGACCTTTATCCCATACTTTTCTGCAAAGCAACAATCTCTGAAAGGAAGAACTAAATTTTTGTTAGTCACCAACCTGTCAGCAAAATACCTGCTGTATCCCAAATGGCTCTACTGAGAAACTCCAAAAGCCCCTCGGAAAAGATGACAAAATGCCAGAGAGATGAGGAGTGAATGCAGCCAATTCACACTTTCCCTCGTATCAGACAGCACCAGCAATAAAACTTACAGGGCCTGTGCTTCGGGTATTCACTGTACCACCAGAGTCATTCAGAGGAGCTGGGCTCAAAAGCACAGTTTCGGAATGTCACCAAATTACTTTCTTGTTTTTCCTTTTTTACATACATACGAGAAAGCTAGGATAACAGAAATCTATGGTAAATTTTCTTTAAAAATCAGAGGCAGGACATGGCAGAGGCTTGGATGGAAAGGGATGCCAAGATGGGAAGTGGAGAACTGTGCATCACTTGAAGAGAAGATGTGAGACTTGCTCAGGGACAGTTAGCAAGAGAAAGACAACTGTCCAGACCATCCCGGGCTTTTGACCTGAGCCACTGAAATGGAGTCAACATTTACCAAAGTGGGGAACAGCTAGGTCAGCAGCCTTGACAAGTGCCAAACCCACCCTGCTTCCTGTTTCTGTACAGCTGCTAGGTAACAAAGCTTCTATGTGTTTTCAACAAGATTTTTTAAACAAAAGAGAAAAAGAAGATAGAGATGAAACTGTAGGTGGTACTCAAAGACTAAACTATTTACTCTCTCTTTGCAAAGTCTGGCAACTCCTAGGCCATAGGAGACCAGTTTGGGAAGGAAGACCGGGAGCTAGAGATGAACACACAGTTTAAGGGGCCAGTCATATATTCAGGGACAGATGTTGGGTAGGCAGCTCCAGAAGCAAGGCCAAGGCCTGGAGAGAGGCTGCCATGGGCTCAAAGCTTTTGAGCACAGAGCCCAGATCACCAAAATAGGCCTGAGGCCTCAGCACCCTTGCCAGTCCCTGAGAGTGACATCCCGATCCAGCTATCTCGGCCTAGGGGATACTGCACACTCTCCTGGCTCTGTGGATAGCTGCACTTAATAAAAGAGGACTTCAGTAAGAGTTGAGCCATCACATCAAGAAACTCAGTTCTTGCTGAAAGATTCAGGCAGCAGACAGATCGGTAAGGCTGACTGTGGAGGTGTAGAATTCATACCTACGTGACTTTAATGCTTTCATTCCTCACATTTGACCACGTAACTGTCATTGTGTTTTTTACTTTGATTATGGAATTTTCAATTTAGAGAACACTATCTAAGTTTTAACAATTGTGACCATGACACCTTTTCAGTCTTCAACAAGCCCTTGGTCTGTAATCCTGAGGACTCCCAGCCAAGCTTTTAGCCTTTCCACCGATTCCTTCAAGCTCAACTAAATTCTTTCCCATGATCCATCAGCACACACACAATAAGGCCAATTCTAATAACATTCCTATCTAGCTGTATCAGGCCATAAATCTTGAAATTAAAATCTCTGTAGAAATAACTTTGGCCTTCCAATTTTTGTATATAGTTATGCTAAAAAAATAATAAATTTTAAATAAAGTTTAGCAACTTTGTCACATGAAGTATTCACAAGTTTCTCACCCAATCAGAGTTTCTAAATAAAAAGAGGTATCTTCAAAAATATTCTGATTTACATGCCAGCAGTGGGGCTGAACTGTAAAGTATCATTCGCCCGGCATTCATGAGGCCCCAGTTTCTAGTACTAGCGCCAAAACAAAAAAAAAAAAATGCTTTACAAATTAATGGTTAGCAAATCAACTATATAAGGGATTTCATGGGTTAGCTGCCTGTGTTACAAGAACAAATCTTCCTTCCCTCTATCTAGCCCAAGCCAGGAAACTCTCCCAGTGCTATGCCCAATGTGCCTCTGTCCATCTTGACTTATACTCTGTCCCTTATGTTCACTAGGTGCACCTGCCCCTCTGTCCTCCCTTCTAGATCATAACCTCCTCCAAGACAGAGGCTAGTCCTTACTGTCTGGTGCCCCTAACACCTCCCTTCACAGCTGGCACACATAAGAACTCAATCAGGGCTCCCACGGAATGAAGAGAAGTACACCTGAGTATACTTTATAGAGGTCAAATCTGCCCACTTATCATTTGTATTTTAGGCTGAGCCCCACTCTGGATGGAACACAGGAACTCTGTGGCAGCTCGGACAATAACAGCATCCATCTGAAAAATCAGGCTGGGCGTGATCAAGGTTGTCTCCTCAGGGATGGAAAGTGAACAGGATGGAAACTTCCAGAACCAACATGGCGTCCTCCTGAGGCTGCCCCACTCCCTGAAGCAGCTCCCTGTCATACCACCCCAACACACACCACACACCCAGATAACACACAGTACCCACCAAAATCAGGCCCACTCTGCACTGGGCTCTTGTTAAGTGGCCTTTCTGAGAATACCAGCCTCAGGCCACACATTGATGGGGTCACTCGGGGTCCCTACCGTCAGCCGTGTGAAGGAGCTTGTGACTCTTCAGCGTCCCCTTTGATTTGAATTTCTTGCCACACATGTCACACAGGTGAGTCTTCTCAGTGCTATGACGATTCATATGAGCCTTGAGGTTACTCTTGCTACGAGTTGCATACTCGCACAGAGAACACTTGAAGGGCTTCACGCCTACAGGGGAAACAAATGCAAATACATGTGTGCAGACATGTGAGAGTCCAAAGAAACAGATCACACTTATGTAGAACAGCTGTTGGAATAAAGCATCAAACCTGTTTGTCCTGGGCACGCCCCTGCCTCCCCCACAGGCTCTTCCTGTGTGGCTCCTTCCCCCAGGGGTCTCTTTCCTGAGGGTCAGCCAGGCACCCTGCCATGCAGCTTTCCTGACCTCCCTGGGTAGATTTCACTACTTGCAGGTCAGTGTTCTTAAATCCTGTAACCCTGCTCTGGAACGTTCACAGCATGTGACAGGGAGCTGATCCCATCCACTTCTCCCCACATCTGGGAACTTCTTGAGGACAGAGACCCTGAGCACCTGAGGTAGCAGATGATCATTAAATTCCACTGACCCGAGTTAAATTGAATGAAATTGAGGGCCTCAAGGGCCTTTGCAAAAATCAGTGGGATCAGGCCTATCAAATGTGAAAGCATATTTCACTTCATAAAATAACAGCTTTATAACACTGGTTGTTGTTGTTGGGCCAATATTCAGACTTGGGGGTTTCCTAGCATTGAACTACTTCATTCAGCAACAAACTACAGAGGGCCTACTTTCACACTAAGCACTGAGGGCTAATCCTGAAACTCAGGAACTTAGTCCCTGCCCCACTGTCCAGCACGAGATCAGACAAGGAAACAGTCTGTTACAACCGAGGGTGGTGTGCTGCAGGGGTGGGCAGCAGAGGGTCCCAGAACCTACACTGAAGCAAGGAGCAGAGGTGCCTGTGGCCCAAAAGCACTTCACGGCCATGGCAAAGCCCAGAGCAAACAGGCTGGGTTCCTGGAGAGTGGGGTGATAATCTAACCACGAGCACCAATAAGCTGTGTAACCCTGAACCACAGTTTGGATCACGGTTCCCACATCTGTGAATTAATGGGTCCAGGAGTAACCTCCCAGGGAACCTCTGGATACCACCCTGTGTTCTGGGAACACACTCTTAAGAGCAGGGCTACAGGCATGGTGCCAGCCCTGGTAGGGGAGCCTCTCTGAATCACACCCAGCCTGACCAGACATTCTAACAGCAGGTCAAAGCTACCGAGGGTCTGGGCGCATCACCTGCATGGAAGAGAAGCCACCACAGACCACTCAGAGGCACAGAACGCAGCTCAGTGGTACAAGCTCCTGTAAGAATAGCTGAATTACCATTATTCAGGTACTACTGGACCAGGTGTTTACCAAAAAGATAAACAAACTCAAGAATGAAGTTTATAAGCCTGGAGAAGCCAAAATCCTAGTTTCTGTTTCCTGTCATGAATGGGAAGAAAAGAGCCAACACGGCAACCTGGGGACTAGAGACACATTTTAAGGCAGGCCTCTGCACTCCCAGTGGCCAGCCGTGCACAACAGCTCTGTCCCTCTGCGCTCTCCCACTGCACATGGCTCAAAGGAGACAGCAGAGAAGCCAGCTGTGCAGAGCCGCAGCTCATCTACCCGATGGCCTGCACCACACAGTGAGGCACAGACACTGTTGACACCATGTTCTCTGGTTTCCACCCACCAAGAGCCGTGTTCAGGACAGCTGTGGTGGATCCATGCCAAGGCCATTACCTGGTTGCTGTAGAACCCTGAGCCAGGTTACAGGTCCTCTGAGCAACAAATATGTGTATGAAAAATGTTCTCTCTGTATATATAGTTAAGCATGATGACTAAAACCATTACCATGTTTTACTTCCCTTTTTGCCAGTTTCTTGGCATTTTGTACATTTTTGTTTTATTTACTTGATTTTTAAATTTTTTGTTTGTCTTTGCTCATGTTTTATAGAGTAAACAGACAGAAGAAACCGTTATGATGAATTCTAAAAAACCCCAATACTGTAATGCGCACAGATATGATTTTTTTTGTTTTTTTTTGTTTTGTTTTTGGTACCGGGGATTGAACTCGGGTCCTTGCGCTTGCAAGGCAGGCCACTGAACCGCTGAGCTAAATCCCCAGCCCCAGATATGCTTTTTGTACTTTGATTCCATCATAATTGAAAAAATCAGACTAACTAAAAACTGTAATGCCAGAATACTCTAACAAAAAGCAGAGTCTCTGGCTTTCAGAACCCTTCTCATACTTCTAAAGTTGTTTAAAATAGTAGGTTTCTCTCAAATTGTAAGTATACAACATAAATGCACCATGACAAAAAAAATACAAAAGCACTGACTGTATATGAAGACACACTAAACCATCTACAGAGGGTTACTATACCTGTAAATGACCTCATAGTTCTTACAACCAATTCCAAAGTAGTTTATTGTTTCATTAGATAGATAAGTAAACTGATGTTCAGAAAGAGGAGGTGTTTGTCCCGTCCACAGCTCCTAAATGGTGAGGGCAGAGCTGTTCCTCATGCTCAGGTACACATAATTATGTCAGATGCTTTGTGAGTCCTAGGCCTCCAGTTTCACTGTGCTTCGCCTGAGTCGGTTCCCTGCAGATTCCTGAGTGCCATTCCAAACCTATCCTCCAGACAGGCAGGTGCTTCCACCCCCTTTTTTGCTGAGAATACTGGCCAAGGCCATGGCTGACCCTTTGCATGAGGAAGAAGCAGCACACACAGATAGGCCTGTCGCCTTCACTCCTGGCCCAGAGCAGGAGGTGGCTTCTGCCCAATGCACATCAGTGGAGAAGCGGAGAGCAAAGGCTTTGGAATCAGTGTGATCCAAATCTCAGCCCACCTCTTGTCAGCTGTGTGTCCATGAGCAAATCACTGAACCGCTAGAGCCTTATCTCCCTCACTGGTGTAAAGCAGATGTCTCTGAGGTTATACTGGACCAGATCTCATGGATAATGCACCCTGCACCTGACTTAAGCCAGCAATTGACCAGTAAATGCTAGTAAACAAAAAGAATCTTCCCTCCTGGGGCCTCAACCCTTCTGCCTTCCCCAGGTTCCTATCCATGAGCTGCAATTCTTCTTATTGAACTGTTAAATAGCCCCTTCCTAACAGTCTCTTACCTGGAACTTATAACCAGTCACTTTTATCCCATAATAGAGAAAATGATCAACCTCCTTCCCCCTTTAGTCTATCTTCCCCTACATAGCAAGGAGGGGTCTGATGCAAAAGTCTGGAAGAATTTATCCTAGGCCCCTTCTCCCATCTGCTTTCCCAGGTCCATATCCATGATGTGGGGAGAAAACAAAGCTGGTGGAAGGCTGCCTCTACCAGAATCTTGACTTAGGCCTTCTCAAAATCCTAGAGAGTGGCTCTCCCACACTGCTTTTATGGCAAGTGCCCCAGAGCACAGCCCACACCCCTACTCCACTCCACTCAGTCTCCATGCACTCTTTCCCCTCCTGAGTACTTTCTCCATGATGTGAATGCAACACTCCGCACCACCCTCTTCACCTGCCCTCATTCATGATGCCATCAATTCTTCAGTGCTGCTGAGCGCAGCACAGTGTGGGCACTGGAGCTGCTGCTGTGTGTGCAATACAGGTGCACAAGACACAGGTATACCTGCTTCCCAGCAAGGGACGCTGAGAAGTGGTGATTATTTCACACTGCAGTGGGTACTAAGAGGAAATACACACATCTACTCAGTGCAAATGCAACAGGATGGGTGATGATGTAAACGTCTGGCCTTTAGGGGCCGACAGCACACCTCCACGTGGTAAAGAAGTCTAACTGCGGGGATGTGGAGACGTGGCTTCCTCCCAGTGGACTCCCAAAATAAAGTGTGGGGAACAAAATTAAGAGACAGCCCTGTGTGGGCAGACCCCCACTCACCCTCATGAGCCCAGATGTGACGCTGAAGGTCTGAGCCGTTCTTCATGAAATAAAAATCACAGTATGGGCACTTCATGGCTCTCTTTCCAATTAGCCCTTTCAGCTGCACCCGCCTCCCAAGCACTTCGGAAATGGTGCTCATGGAGACCTCTGGAAGAAAGCAGGATGACAATCAGAGGAGGCAAAGGACTCAGGCTCAAATTAGGTACTCCTGACAGCACCCGCGTCACTAAGGGGACAAGTCAGGATGTGCCTGGTGAGATCATGAGCACTTTTCTGACTAAAAAGTTAAAGCAGAATCTCACCAAGCTTCAAATCTAAATGCCTGTTAGCATAAAACACAAGGGATGGAAAAAATGACACAAAGCAATAAGCAGACAAGTACAGAATATGACAGCATCTGTCATAAAAGGGATTCAGAAATCAACAACAGGGAACAACAGTGAAAGTATTTATAGAACACTAGCAACCTAAGTGACATAATTACCAAAGAAAAAAATCTTGCACCTATTTTTTTTTTTTTTTTGGTACCAGGGATTGAACTCAGAACCTTGTGCTTGTGAAGCAGGTGGCAGAACCACTGAGCTAAATTCCAAGCCCAAAAATTCTTGCATCTTGATTCAAACAAACCACCTGCAATTACTTGTGTGTGTGTGTGTGTGTGTGTGTGTGTGTGTGTGCGTGCGCTGCGTCAACTGGAAAATTTTAAAATGGATACTCACTGGTAATAAGTATTCACTGTTTTGTTTCTGTTTTTTTGGTGACATAGGGGTTATGTTAAGAAAAACCCTTACAAGTTAGAGATTTGTAAGATTTTTATGGCTAAACCTCATGATACTGGCACATATTTATTCTAGGGGGAAAAGAGGCTTATGGCATAGATACATGAAAAGAGTTTTCAAAATGTAGATCATTGTGGAAGGTGAGCTACAGGTGCATGGGGTCCCTTATATTACTCATTTTTCTGAAAATACATATTTTAGTAGTACATACTAATTTCACAAAACAGTGTGTTTCACAGTGGCGTTTTCATACATGTACATACCTGATCATATCCATCCCCATAGTACTCGCCCTTAAACTCCCCAATCCATTTCTCTTCTCTAATTCTTTTCTCTTCTACTTTCACGTCATCTTTTTCTGTCCCTTCATATTATTTTGTGTGCTTTTGTACATGTTTGAGATTTTTCCATAATACAAAGCTTAAAGCAATGCCTAAAGAACACTTTAGCATTCTTCGTGTGCAAAGGCCAGGGGTTTTAAATTGCTGTCTTGGCTCATATTGGACAACCGGCCACTCACAACACAGGTCAACGTGGTGGGAATGACAGAACTGTGTCAGCAGAGCATCTCAGAGCCCAAGCAGTGCCCTACTGATGAAGGTTCAAGATGTGTCCGTTCCCAGGGAAAGCAGGAGTATCAGTATCCATCTGTTATTTCTTTACTTTCCTCCATTTCTCATCATTTATAATCAGGGAGTCTGTTCCCTTTTATCAACGGCAGAAACAAATTTTTTACAAGAGGAAAGAGGCCAGAGTGCAGAGAGAGGCACACTTAGCTCAGCTGTTGTTTATTTACACAACACAAGAGCACCCGTGCATGCCTTCTTGGTGGCCTGGTGGGGCACTGAGGGGCCCAGGGTTAAGCCCAAACAGAATGACCCCATGGGGGAGAAGGGGACAGTGGCAATGGCTTGAGTACAATGGGTCAGCATGCCACAGTGTTGCGGGGAAGGGCTGCCACACATGCAGCCCCAAAGGAGAACTTCAAAGTGAACAGGACTTAAGAGCAGAAGTTACAGGACAGGGGTGTCCAAGAAGCTGGTACATCTCACCTGAGCAGCGTGGGAAGTTAGGACCACAGTGGTGGTCACTTCCACTCATGGAAGCTCCTCGGCCTGAGTGGGCACCAACACTGCTGATAAACCACCACTCTGCATTACACAAACTCAAGACAAGGGCCAGGAAGAAGGCAAGGGTCCTTGTCAGACATACAGCACAGACAATCCATCGAAAGACACTGGAGTTCATGATAAAGGGGAGAGGCCCACTGAGACTGTGGGGAGCAGAAGATGTGACTGAAGACCAGACAACAGAATAAAATGAAATAAATAATTATGTAAATGTCCCGGCTTTAAATACAGACAACTGCCTCCCTTGAGTTTATTTATGTATTCATTCCCCTTCATTTCCATACAATAGAGCTGATATTTAATGCTTTAAGACAAACAGACATTTTAAAATTGATCTTCCAATATTGATTACTCCCACATCCATAACCTTACCAGGATGGTTGGTCTTGATATGTGACTTTATCAGTCGATCTTCTGAAAAAGACTTTTCACACACAGGACAAGAATAGCTCCTTTTGTCCTTAATAAAAAGAGAACATAATCAATGTATAGTCTTGTTTAAATCTAAGGTACGTAGAATAATTACTGCCATCACCAGCACCACTGCCCCATCACATCACCATTGACAACAACAGCACCATCACCACCTCCTTGACCACTACCGCCACTATCATTACCAGCAGCCTCATCAACTATACACAGAGTACATCCATCCGACACGTAATATACAGCCTCGACCTGGCCTGACAAAGCCTGTGGAGCTCATCAGTAGGGCGATGGCATCAGCTCCATTGTAGAATGGAGGGGTAGGGCTGGAAGAGTTCTCAGGAAGGGGCAAAGGGTAGCACTCAACATCAAAGCCATGGTTCTACCACAAAAACCAGTGCTGCTCCACAGCCCGATAAAGTAATGTGTCCTCATGCTTTGTGTGGGGTTTCATATATGTTATTGTATTGAGATTCACAACTACGCACAAAAGAAAAGGATTTTTCATGCTTCAGATTAAGAAACCAAGGCCCTGGGTAATTAAGTCCAAAGACTGAGAGGAACAGCCAGTGTTGAAATGGGACTGTTCAGATGCCCCCCAAGACTCCTCCTGCCACTCTAAGACCATGTGTCTACCCAAGACTGCAGGGAGGAAATTCACTTGCTGCTGGCTCAGTTGACTTGGTCCCCACGGTGTTAGACTCTCAGCTGGGCAGAAGCTCTCATGAATGACTGAATTAGAGATTCTGCTCATCTATTCTCTCCCAGAGCTCCCCTCAGAGATATTTCGTATTACATTTTTCACCAGAAGGTGGGGTTATGGGTTGAATTATGTCCCCCTCCCCACCACCAAATTTTATACATTGGAGTCCTAATCTCCAGTTCTTCAGAATGTCACTTTCTCTGTAAAGATCGTTCCCCATCTTTACAGTAGTGATTCAGGTAAAATGAAGGGACTAGAGCCAACCCTAATCCAATATGACATGACTGGTGTCCTCATGAAAAGGGGACATTTGTACTTAGATGTGCACAAGGTGAAGGTGAAGGCAGAAACCAGGTGATGCATCTACAAGCCAGAAGGGGCAAAGGTTGACAGCAAATCACCAACAGCCTGGAGAGGAGCCTAGGGCCGGTTCCCACACACACACACTCCCCTCAGAAGAAAGAACAACCTGATCAGACTTCGAGTTTCTAGAAGATAAAGTCTGTAGAGTTAGCCACACTGAGCAAGGTACCCTTATTCCACTTCCCAAGATCACATCTCAGAGAGCCAAACTGATGGGAAGGCCCTGAGTATCCAAGTGAACAAAGCCTGCAGAAGCCATTTGTGCAAGAAACCGCTCTGGGCCATGTGCTCTCAGGATGTTAGAGGGTCCCTGCTCATGTGAACTTAAGGAGAACTAACTCCGCCTGCAAGCTTGGCACTGCAGCAAGGGCTTCCCTTGTCTTGAGCAGATGAATGCAGGCCTCACAGCCTGCTCTGTACCTCCAAATCATAATAGCATAACAGCTACATTCACTTCTTAAGAACTTACTGGATGCAGGTTCTTTATGCACCTTGTGGGGCATTTAGGAACTTGCCTGAGGTCACAGCACCATGGAGAATGGGGTAAGGTGTCCAAACCAGTTCTCCCATCCCAGAGAGCTTGCTTTTATGAGACTGGGACCAGCAGTACAGGCTGAAGACTCAGAGACCCTGGGCTTAATCCTGGTTCCACCACCTGTTAGCTGGGGAACTCTGGGCAAGTAGCTTAACCTCAGTGCCTCATTTTCATCATTTGCAGAATGACAATACAAATAGTGTCTCCTTCATAAAATTGCAAGGAGAATAAAGGACACAGCAAGCACCAGGAACGCTCAGAACAGAGCCTAGCCATAGCCTGTAGTGAGTGCTCAAGAAGTCTCAAGGACTTTGCTGCAGTGGTTTTAGTTTGTGATAATGCAACTCAGCCTGATGTGCTGCCCTTCTCGTGGGCTAATGCACACCAGAGATCTTGTAATGGGCTTTAGAATAAGCACACCCAAACTCCTTTGTGGATGGCTTCTCCTTGCTGTTGCAGAACAGCTCCCAAGGCCAGTGTCTACAGGGCATAGTTAGGAAAGGGGTACTTCATTAAAAAAAAAAAAAAAACAAAAAAAAAGGAAGAAAAGTTATTCTGAACAACTAACTAGTCCCAACACATTTCCCACCACAATGGGACCACACAATGCCTGCCAAGCCCAGATGCCCACCAGGTCCAAGCAACTGTCTAGAAACTGCCCTGAGCTCTCTGGACAGCCAGTGCCACAGCCCTCTTCACAGGTTGCATCAGGGGCTCAGGGCTCTTTGACGTGCTCTGCCATTGTCCTCCATTGCCTTGACCATGTGTTCAGTGCCATTTCTGGAAACTGCCCCGTGCACACAGGCTTCCTAGCAAAGGTCCCCACCACCCCCATTGCCCCCAGTGCCCTTGTCATCAGAGCTGATAGAGGCATTGGGAAAGCTTTGAAGGGGTTTCCACTGATCTCCTTCGAACCCTTGACAGTTGATTTTTTCTTCCTTTAATCCTTCATAGTCTGAAAGCAATTTATCTCAGAGTTTATCAGGGTCCCTGCTTCTTGATGTCTTTGAAGACTGTCAGAAGGACACAGACAGTGGTAAATGATTTTTGGAGAAGGGTAGATTCTCAGCAGTCATTTTCTTCTTTTTCAAACCTCAGTGCCTTGCCAGAGACAAAACCCAAACACACAGGCAAATTTTAAAAGAAGCAGAGTTAAAAGAGCTTCTGGCAGAGGCTGGGGCACATAAGAAACCCAGCTGGAAGGATGGGAAACTGCCCAACTCTAGGAGTTTGTTTGCTTGCCTAGAAATACCTTCAAAGCCATCAGGATCTTCTGAAAAAAAAGGGGAGCCCACATGAGATCACAGGCATGGCACAGGGTGCAGGACCACCCCAGGCCAAAGACGCAAAGTCCAGCTCATTACTCTGGACAACTCACTTGATTTGTGCTTAGAGGCAGGTTATTTGGCTACCAAAGGAACTTGACAGGTCACAAGTCCAAAACCAGCACTGGATGGAGCATATCAGACCAAGCCTTCCCACAGAGTATGTAACTGATACATAAGTAAGTACCCTTGAGACAAGGACTTAAAAAGCTGCTTTTGCTAAAAAGCACTGACCATTTGGGCCTGCAGATACCAGATGCCTAACTGAAAGCAAGATAAAGCTTGGCATCTCTGTTTGTTTGTTTGTTTGTTTTGTACCAGGGATCAAACTTGGGTCCCTGCACTTGTGAGGCAGGCAGCATAACCACTAAGCTAAATCTCTGGCCTTCTGCCTTCATTTTTGTACCTGTCTCCTTTACTACCTTAAGCTTTGGGTCAGATCTCTGCTTAGCTCTTCCTATGGGCATGCTAATCATTCAAGGAGCCACTGTCTAAAACTGGAAATCCATGGCTTATTTGCTCCAAATCTGCCTAACCTATCGCATTCCCCGCTTCAGAGCTGAGGACAGGAAGAGTATCTACGGTATTTTCAAGATTTGCAGGGACATTCAACTGCCAGCTTTCACAATATCCTATTCCAGCCCCTTGGAGCAGCATTTACAAGTCTCTAGTTACAGGTGAATCACAGTAAAGCTTCTGTGGACAGATCACCCTATCATTTGTCACGACAAATCATCTCCCTAAGCAGGAGAAAGTACCCTATGAGAGAAACTGAGAGTGCCGCCCCCAAACAGGAGCAATCACCTCATGTGAACAGACCGTCCCCTCAAATGGTGAGGACTTCTTGGGAGTCACCTGGTAGAACCAGAACTGACACGATGGTCAGCTAGACCCTAGCTCGGCCCAGAAATCCAAGAAAACCTTGTCTGTTCCCTTTGTTAGCAGGCCTGCATGATCCCCAGTGGTGCTATACCCTCTTTGGCTCTTTTTCTCCTCAATCTGAAGTCCACTTCCACGTTCTCTCAATTCTCAGTTACAGTTTTGCCTGGCAGTCCATGCCCTTTCCTCGGTTTTAATTTCTTTTGTCACTGAGACAGTACTCTTGCTTCCAGCAGGAACCAAGTTGGGGGAATTCTACTCTGAATAACTTATCAGGAATAAAGGCCATGGTTGCAGTATGGGCTCTCTTCTATGGTTTTATTCACTCATTTCATCACAGGACTCCCATCATATGCCAGGCACTGGCCCTGAGGACAAAGGGGTGGGAACCTCAAGGGCCCAGGAGCTCATTAAGAAGCAGACATGTCCCACACAGGGCCCAACAGCCAGCACAGATGGAGGCAGGGGGAACAGTAACACAGAGGAGAGGGAACACCCAAGGTGTGAGCCAACCGCTCAAGGGAGAGAATGGCCAGAGTGTTTTCTGAGATTTAGGACTTCAACAGTCAGATAGCCCTTTTCACTGAAGACAGTTCTGTTGTGCTATGCCACATGGCCTTGCAGTGCTGTATCTCAAAGATATTCTATGCATAAGGAGCTCTGGGAAACTGGGGCCTCGCCAAGCCATGACACAGAACCAAACCTTTTTTGTGATAAGTGAAAAAGATCATATTCTGGCAGCTCTTAAGAAGGAAAAATATGTTCTATCACTTTATTTAAATAACATTTTCTCTACCAAAAAAAATGATCAATACTGACCAGGTACATTCATTTATTTCCAGAAAGATACTGAAGGCAACCTCCACCACTTTCTCTGTGCTTTGCTGCCAATGCATTATTTTAGCTGATTTCAGTGGCTTACAGGATTATCCGAGGGGCGCCCGCAAGGAAGGAGGTCAACCACCCACCTGACAGCACCTCCAGCACAAACTGCAGACACAGTGACACTCAAACCCTCAACACCAAAACAAAGGCCTCAAGAAGCAACGCTTCCCCTGGGAGTGGGTAAACTCTGCTGATGAATTCTGTTTGATTTCTATCCTATTTCATTTCTAATACAGCTAGTTCTGACTCACTAAACTGGTTCTACAACCTTCTAAGGTATTGTGATCCATAGATCTTTTCTTCAAGAGAATGCCAACCCTGGTGTTCTGTACTCATTTCCTAATTTGATCTCCACAACCCCGAGAGGTAAGGGAAAGTGCTTTATCTCCATTTTGGTTTGGTTTGGTTTGGTTCTTGCTTTTTGCAGTGCTGAGGACAGAACCCAAGGCCTCACACTTGCTACAAGCACTCTACCACTGGACTGTATCGCCAGCCCTCTTTATCTCCCCTTTACAGACAAGAAATCTGAGGGCCAGAGAGGTTCAATGCTTTGCCCCATAACCCAGAGGTATTCAAGCACATCAGAATCCAAAGCTTCCTCTCCGTCTACCAAAGCCATGTTTTCTCATCTCCACTTCCCAAACTTTGCACAATGCTGTAAAGAATGGATTTGCTCTGAAAGCAAATCGCTGACTAACTCCTTGGATATGGTTCCCAAATGTCAGGATGTCGGTACTGTCAGCACTCCATATCCAGGGGCTCCTCATCTGTGGATTCAACCAAACAGCAATCAAAAGTACTTGAAAAAAGTGGCCTGTGCTGTTTCTTGTCATTATTCCCTAAATATACAGTATAGCAACTATTTATAGGTCTTTTCTGTTGTATGAGGTGTTACAAGTATACAGGAGGATGTGCATAGGAAATGTCCCAGTGCTGCGGCATTTTACATAAGGACCTTGAGCATCCACAGAGAGTTCTGGCACCAGTGCCCCTGGATACCAAGGGATGCCTACATAACACAACTATAAGCCAAAACTAACTGGCTACTGATGGGAAGGAGGCGACAGAGGGAAGAAGCCATGCTAAAGATCCACACTCCTTCCAATCTAGTTCTTGGCTACAGGAGCTAAGAAATAGTTGTCAGGATCACAGAAACTGACAATATGCCAAATTATCCCAGAGTCCTAATATAACTAAAATGGGGCTGAATATAAATAAGAGCATTTGGAGGGGTAGGGAGAGTGCTATTTTAAACATACTTAGTTTCTGCTCAGCTGGGAATCTATGCTCAAAGGAGTAAACGCTAAAACAAATGTGAAGTTCCCATCTCCAGGGTCATAAGCCAGGAGACCTGGCCCCAGTGACAACGCTTTTCCCAGGACCCAGCTAGACCCTGCCAGACCAGAGTCCTCAGGTCAGCCACAAGGGTGTCCAAAGGCACTTTTACATTACAAGAGTGTACCAAACATCTCCCTGGAGCTTCAGCAGCACCCAGAGAAGCAGGGAGGTGTTACCCACTCTACTTTCGGGGACAGGGAAACTGAGCTCAGAAAGATCAAGCAGCCTGCACAGGACGCACAGCTTGCGGGGGGAGCCTTGTCCCATAATCGCAAAACTCCAATGTTACCTACTTTCCAACAGCAAAGCTGCATCTAGAGTCAAAAACAATGAAAACAAGGGGATAATAAAGAAGACAAGCTAACTTTGGGGTGGCAATGATGAGGTGGGCAATTTCTACTTAAGATACTTTAAAATTTGGAAACCTTTCTTAAGGAAAGCTTAGCATTTAAGAGTTCAACTGTATACATTTTTTAGATGATCTCAAAAATAATTGGATAGAATCTTGTGGATTTCAGGTGCTACAGTTAGGAGTTCCATATTGGTGAACATACCACTGAAAATGCACCTTGAAATGCTCATCAACCCACAAACAAAATATAGCCTGTTTAATGAAATACTGCCCAGCTCTAGAAAGGAGTACAGTATTAACACATGCTATACTATTAATGAACTAAATGGAAGAAGTCAGCCACAAAAGACTGTACCACATACATATTTTATGATGTTTTATTTGAAATGTCCAGAACAGACAAATCCAGTGATAAGAGGATGGGTTCCTAGTTGCAGGGGATCAGGGAGGAGAAAGAGAGGGATGACAGCTAACAGGAATGGTTCCCTGAGAGAAGGAAGAAAATGTTCTAAAATTAATTGTGCTGCCATGCGTGGTGGCACACGCCTGTAATCCCAGCACTCGGGAGGCTGACGCAGGAGGATCACTGTGAGTTCGAGACCATCCTGGGCTACAAATTGAGTTCCAGGTCAGTCTCAACTACATACTGAGACCCTGTCTCAAAAAACCAAAAACAACAACAACCAAAAAAAAACAATTAAATTAATTGTGCTGATAGCCATGTAACTTGATTAATATACTAAAAGCCTTTGATCTTCATATTGTAAATGAGCAAATTGTACATTACATGAATTCTATCTCAATAAAGCTGTTCCTGAAAAAAAATAAAAATCTCTAGTAATTTGCCTTGTAGATACTGCAATCTATGGAAAACATTTGGAGACAATGCTTTGTTATCAGATCAAAAGCATCCATGCTCGGGGCATCAGTGGACTTTTTCCACAGTGTTGGCTTTCCTGTGGTACCCGTGGCTTCATTACAGAAAGAATTCAGAGGTGCAAGAGACAAATGATAACTCAGAATGCTGGGATCTGTTTTCATAAATTACACTATCTTACTACAATGGCAACACAGTCCTCCTGCTTCATGGAAAATGCTTAGAGCCAATGTCCTGGCATCGATTCAAAAGGTTTGTCTTGGTTTGTACGGTGGACCCTCTGCCCTCTTCCTGCCCCAGATCTGCTCATCAGTCATGGACTCCCCGCACAGGCCTGCTCTGGGGGCCAGGTGAGGGACTTCCCACTGACCTCATGAACCCTCGCTGCCAGCACTGCTCACTTCTCCCCCAAAAGCACCTGGCAGGAATACTGGGCAGCCCAGTGCCTGGCCAAGAGGATGAGGTCTCTCCCGTCAGGAGCAGCAGCAGCAGCAGCTCATTCACCTCTAAATGTGTCACGTTGGAAGAAATATAAATACCAGCAAGGCAAAGATAGAAATTAAACTTTAACAGCATCTAAGAAAACGTGTGTGCCAATGAGAAGCAGGACAGCGTCCTTCTATAAGATTAAGGGAGCCACACCCTTACTGGGCACCCGGAGTAACAGGCAGGGACACTCGCCGATGCAGCACCAGGCACGGCGGCCACTGGCAGCACAGAAGATCTCCACACAGGTCCCGGCCCCTGCAACAAAGCCTAGACCACCACATCCCTCTGAATGATGCGTCAGGTGCCGCGAAGGGCATCACTGAGGTTGTGACTGACCTCCACCAAGTGCACAGCATGGGGTGAGGCCTGAATGCTGCCTCTGTCCTGTTCCGACAGTGTGACCACAGACACACTACGAAGTGACTAAGATACCTGGCTCCTAATCTGCAAGGGAAGGAAATAATGCCCAACTCCTAGTGGTGACATGAGAATTAAGTAACCAGCTCAAAGGCATGGCCACAGGTAAAAAAAAAAACAATAAAAATAAAAGTGATTTATCTCTCTTTACCCCAAACTTTCTTTCCCAGATGCCTTCTTACGTACTGACGTTGATGTGATAAACTCTTTGAAAGAAGTCTCATGACCATGAAGACATGAAAAGAGAAACGTCAGCTTATCAAGAAGAAAGGAAGCATATGGAATGGAACAGAAGTTGAAGGTCTTAATACACACTTCTGGTGCTCCTCTGTTAACCCAGAGGCCCAGGGATGCGGCCATGAGGCTGAGCACCCGCATTGGGGGTTAAGATAATAACTGGGCTAGACCAGAATCCCTAGAACAAATACAACCAGCACACAAAACCTGAGCACAAAGCAAAAGAGGCAGCTCTCTTGTCCTTGTTACTCCTTATCCCATGCTTCCAAGCCACTAAATCCACAGCAGCACCTTTCAAAACAAACAGTCAAGTAATAATAGTCAACAGGGCTTGTGCTATGCTGGGCTCTGTTCTGAGACATTTACACATGCTCTCTTATTTCATTCTCACCTAGGCACAGGTAATCTCAGGCAGAGTGGTTATGACTCATCCCAAGGATAAACACATGGTAAAGGGGGGCTAACAGTAGTCTGCTTCCTGATCTCCACTGTGATACTCTAAAGCTGTTTCTCCCAAGATCTGCTCTCTTGCTGACTCCCCTCCCTCTTGACTTGAGATGACAAGCAGTCAGCTGGTACATAGCAACTAAGACAACCACTACACCAAGTTCTTATCTACAGCATTCTATTTTACCTCCCGAAAGTCCCGGGTCTATATGCATATACAAATATGTATGCACGCATGTACAGGTATGTGTACAGAATAGGCATGTATAAATACATGCATGTATAGACATGTGTGTGAGGACACACATGTGGACACACATGCGTGTGCATATAAAATATAGTCTACTTATCAAATTCAACCTTTCAGCACTTAGTAGCATCTCTTATTATCCTTGTAATAATTCTTTTCAAATGTCATTTAAGAAATCCTTGCTTCATTTCTATTCTGCAGATCTTCCTTCTGTAAACTTTCTCAGATGCTAACAAATTTGCACAGAAAGCAATCTGCTTAATCTAATCTCTCTCTTTCTTTAATATATTAGAGCCTCTCACTGCCAAAAGCAGTGGGGGCAGCCCTCCGTGAAGGGAAGCGGTGGGCGGCGCGAGGCCCGCTGTGCTGTGAGAGCTGGCTGCTTGCACACGGTGGGTGACCTGCAGCAGGACACTTCCACAGCACAAACCAGGGGAAGCAATGAGCACCCAGGGGAGGCGGGGCTGCCACCCGGGCTTGCTACTTACCAGCTCTGTGTGAACTTTAAGATGTGCCTGTAGCTTATATTTATCTGGAGTCGAGTAGTCACAGCCGTCAGTGGGGCACTTCAGCAAGATGTTACTGTGTTTCTGAATTACATGGCGTTTAAGGCAGTTTTTGGTGATGGAAGAATAATGACACTGGGAGCAATAGTACAGGTGTTCCCGGGTGTGGGTGCGGACATGCATGTCAAAGTGCACTTGGTACCAAAAAAGTTTGCCTAAAAAAATATTTTCACATGAGAACAAGGAAGTTTCTTTTATACTGAATTTGAATTTTTAAATTATATTATTATTATCATCATCATTATTATTATTAACAGCTTTATCTGCCTCACGTGCTTGTCAGGGTCACCCTTCATACCTTCCACCACATCTTCTGAAAATTACTTTTCAAAGGTGGCAAGCTGCAAACATTAAGGGTGCTACCATCTTTGGCATGGTTCAGGGCAGAAGAGGGGGAAGAAATATCCACTGAGGACCAATCACGGTGCCAAACACTACCTGCACATGCACAGATCAAAGAGTCTAAATCCTCCTGACCCTCCAGGCCTCCAGGGGTGGCACTGGCCTCCCAATAACCTGCACCACAAGCTCCCTGGGTGATCCAGGAGCTGCACTTTCACGGGGAGGTGGAGTGTGCTGCTCAGGGCCTGGCCTCCCTGCAAAAAGCTGCAACCACTTCCATACCCTCTCTGCTTATCTAGAACACAGCCTAGTTTAAAGCTCCACTTAACATGCGTCACATGCCAGAAGAAAGGCTTCCTGGTCAGGAGCTGGGAGGGGCTGTGGGGACCCTCAAATTGCACACCTGACTGCACCAATGCGGCCGGCTGTGCCATCACGCTGGCTGCCTCCACACAGACTCCTACCACTGCCTGTGACACCAGCCACCCATTACTGTCTACCATGGAGAAGGGCGGCTCATTTAGAAGCTGTTCTTGGCACAGACGTGAGCTCCAGTGGAACCTTAGGTGACCACCACATGATGGGAATGGACAGGGCTGCTGGGAAGCAGAGCTCCGCTCAGCAGTGCACTAGTGCAGCCTTCCTTACCACAGTATTCACACTCCAGGTCTCCATAAACCTTGCGGATCCTCTCGCACAGGCCAGTGTTCATTTGCTTCTTCTGCAAACTGTCCAGTACCTTCATGAATGCAGTGCTGCCAGGCTGATGCTCAGAGGCAGGTTTACAAGAGTCAGGCTGGAGCACATCGGTGTCCCCAACACTGGCCACTGGAGGAAGGAGGTCCACGGCCTCAACAGGGTTTGGCCTGAGACATGTGCTGGGGTTGGGGTTACTGGTTGAGAGGACAGTCATTTCCTGGCCTTCTCCTGGAGGGCTCTCGGCACTCTGGGTCTCTGGGCTGGGCCCAGCACTTTTGGTCTTGGATAGGAGTAGAATGATTTCTTCACCCTGAGTCTGGGCTGAGCCTCCATGCTGGGTGCCCAAGGTCTTCTCAGCAGCAGCATGAGCCTCAGTGGAGGAGGTATCATTTTTCAGCAAGAAATCATCAGAAACCACTGCAAGAGAATGCAGGTCTGCAGAGACCACAGTGGTTTCCAGCTCGCAGGGTGGCAGGGCATCACTTTCAGCCTGAGGGCTGGCCAAGGGCACTTCTGGGGCAGGCATTTTCACAGGGACTTCCAGATCCTTCCGCTCCGCCTCACAAGGAGCACCCTTGGGACCAGCCCCCTCTTTCAGAGCATCTACCCCCTGGCACACAAACTCCTCTTCCACTAGCTGCAGCTGGCCCCCCAGGGCTTCTTGCTGGATGTCCCCTCCCGGCTCCAGGAGGCAGAAGCTCTGGTTGATGGAACTGGTGAAGACCAGGGCCTCCTGGGCTGCCCCGTGCACCTCTTTGATGTGGGAGCGCAGCCTGATGGAGCTGACAAACTTCTTGAGGCAAATGGCACAGACATACACAAAGGGGTGCTTCCTGACGTGCAACTCCAGGGCCTGGTATTTGGTGGCCCCGTGGCCACAGAGCTCACAAGCATAGGGCCACTTGTCGCCATGGACCAGCATGTGGCGGTCCCGGTCCAGCTCATTCTTAAACTTGCGCTCGCAGATGTGGCAGTCATAGAGCAGCTGCCGCTTGCCTTCCCTCGTCATTAGGCGGAGCTCATCCAGGGCCTCCTTGACCTTCTTGTCCTGTGGGTCGTGCGTGTCCCGGATGTGCTTGATGAGGTTCTTGACATCGGAGTACTTCTTCTTGCAAAATCGGCAGTGCTGCTTGATCTTCTTGTGCACCCGCTCAATGTGCACCTTGAGATGGCCTTTGCTGAGGCAGGTGAAAGAGCAGTAGTCACAGGAGAACTTCTCACCAGTGTGCTTGCGTAGGTGCACGTTGAGGTTAGCCTTGATGGCGCTGGCATAGCTGCACTGAGGGCACTTGTATGGCTTCTCGTTGGTGTGGATCCGCAGGTGGGCCTGCAGCGAGTGCTTGAACTTGAAGACCTTGTTGCAGTATTCACAAGTGAAGATTTTCAGTTGGGTAGGACCTAGCCTAGAGACAAATGACAGCACAGTTACTTTCGGAGATCTTGAAGCCTCCCAATGACCCAAACAGCAGAGGCTTAGCAGAGGATTAAATAAGGCAGAGGATGGAGAAAGTGTTCATTCACTCAACAAACAGACCTGGAAGAACGGGATGAGCCAGGCCCAGCTGAAAGAGAAACAGGGAGTCCTGGTCCTTCCGAACCTCACTGTCCAGGGAAAGAAAAGACAAAGCAGCCAGTTTTGCACAATAGTGTGGTAAGAGTGAAAGGAGTTTGTAAAGGGTTAAAGCCAAGACTTCTACCAAGATGAAGGCAACTGAGACAATTTTGCTGAATATTATCCAAGTTGAGACTTGAAGGTAAAGGAAGAACACATAAGAGAAATAAAATGGAAGAGGGATTTGTCACACACACACACACACACACACACACACACACACACAGTAACCAGGCATGCTCCTAATTGATCTGCTGGCACTATGGGATATTTTTTAAAGGACCAGTCTTAACAGAACAAATTTAATCTCCATGAGACTAAATCAACCAAATTGTTCAACAGCTTTGACAATCCTGACTTGCCTATTCAATCAACTGAGGGGTGATCTTCTGTCCTATTTTACAATTGTCTACATGAGGTCCATCCATTAGCAAAAGACCCAGGACCCTTCTCCACATCCTTACTTCTTCCCAGAAAAAAGGAACTATGTTCCGCACCTTGCCTGGTGAGTTTGGTACAGAAACCAGAAGTTGCTAGCTGAGCTCCGCCTCTCCCCTTCCAGTGCAGATGCACCTGCCTACCTGGGATAAGCTTGGGACAGAGCAGGCACTTGGCCTGGCCAGGGCTGCAGGTGTGACCAGCCCAACACAGCAGCACAGCTCCTGATGCTTCCTGCTGATGCACCTCATGCTGTCCCACAGCTCTGTCAGCAGCAGAGATGCTAAGAGACTTTTACATCTTTCTCCTACTCCTTCATAGCTGGTTTAAAGCTCCAATGGGGAAACAGCATTGCCATTCATTAGCCACATACACCACTTAAACAAATAATTGCAACAGATGAACATCTGGCAATGTGTTGCAGACACTGTGATAAATTTCTGCATGTGGTGAAAAATAAAAACATGGTCTGCCTCTGTAGTGTGTCTTTTTCAATGTGGTAATGTGTATACTAAATGAGAAAGTGGCAGTGATAATAACAATGATAGCTAACAGTTATTATTTAAGATAAACTATGATAACTATTTAATCTTAATGGCTATTATCATTGCCATTTTACAGAAGAGAAAGATGAGCATCTGCCAATCATCCTGCAGTTGAAGCACGCTACCTGGGACCCCATTTGTTCATCTTCATCCTTGGTCCTGCCTGATGTCACCAATGCACAGCAACCTGCTCCACTTGGCCTTGCATATAGAGAAGGCTTCCCACACAGGGCTTTGGCTGCAGTTGAAATGGCGAGTCTTTTTTCCAAAAACAGCAAATGACAACCACTAATGTACTTCAGTATGTACTGGGGACAGAAACTGGCAGAGATCAAAGAGCTCAGTGAGACTTCCTCTCTGGCTGTAACTCCTCTGCCTGGATGCTGTGCCCAGGTTATCCAAGAAGGATCTGTGACATTCAATAACCATGCAGTACTGTTAATGAGGCCATTAAGCGATACCTACTCTAACTGTAAACTCTATGTTTATGAAATTACCCACACAACTATGTCTGATCAACTTAGGCTGCCCTGTCTTTAAATTAAAAATATTCAAATAGAGCACAGTCCGCAAATACCAGAGGGTACAACTCACATGATGTAATTTTAAAAAACTCAAATTTGAAAGTTACTGCATGCTAAGCCCAAGGCTTATTCAAGGAAAGCAATTTGGATCTTTCTTTCCCAAATGACAAAGATAACCAGAAGGTGATACATTGTATCGTTATAAAGACCACCAAAGACAGAAGCCCTGGATTCACGGCATTAATTAAGCAAACAAATCACAGTATTTCTTCCTGTAATCCAAGATCTAAATGGTCTTTGGAGAATCTTTTGCTCTGAGTTTTTAAATATTAGAAAAATAGCTAGTAATGCCCTGAGTGTCCCGTTTCTGGTGGAGAGTCATGATGGTCAGCTCACAGTAGACTCTAAGCAGAAGTCACCATGATTCAGAACCAAAGTATCAAGCTGTGATATCTGCACCAGTCCTACCATGTTATTTCACTCCAAGGCTCCCTACTCAGGGAGAGGTACTCTCATCACTGCTCTTTACAAAGAAATCAGGGAGAACATTAAAAGGCCAGACACCTTAATCGAGTTATAATATGTCTGGGACTCTGAAAGAAAGAATACAAAACTAAATGAAGGTGTTCGTGGCCCATTTCTCACAACAGTTAAGAATGGGAAGCTGCCTGAAGGTCTCAACATAGGGCTACTTTGTACATTTATTTTGTTCACTCATTCCTTCATTCATTCAGAGACGGGTTCTAGGCACTCAGGATACAAAAGGGAACAAAAGCAAACCCAACTCATCCCAGCTGGAGTTCACCCTGCTAACTGTACAAAGCAGCATCAGCTCCCTGTGGGAAGGGATAGATAAAATACTCCAGGAGCCCAGCTGAGGACAGAGTGACAGGGAAGGCCTCCCTGAGGAAGGACATTAGAGCAGAAAGCTGGAAAAGTGAACAGGAGCTAATTAAGTGAGCGGGAAGAGGTGCATCCCAGAGCAGAAGGAAGAGGCACCTTGCAAGGTGGCGTCAAAGAAGTGAAAGGAGGCCCAGCTGGCTGGAGCACAGCATGAGTGGGACGGGGCACAGGCTCCTAGGCAGGAGAGCCCCACACAAAGACCTCTAATCTTCAAGAAGCAAGGGGATGCCCTCAAGCATTAGCAACAGACAAGCTTCCATGTGCAAAATTGGCTTTGTGAAGTTATAACATCCCGCTAGGAAGGAAAGTCACATATAAAATATAAACTCAGTGTTGTAAGATGAAAGTATTGGCAAAAAAGGCCAGAAGGAAACATATTAGAACTACTAACAATCTTTGGGCAGTAAGATTACAAATTACTTTTTTTTTTCCTCAGCTTTCTGGATGTCCCAGATTTTCTATGTAAGCCTGAATTATATTTGGTGTAGGAGGAAAAAGATGATATATCCTAAAAGTCTTAATCTGTATTGTACAAAGCAAAATTATCATGTTTGAAGTTTAAAGTCATTTAAAGTTTTCTTTACTATTTTATAAAATTTACTTAGTAAATATTAACAGAATGCATGACAACAGGGATACAGGTCTGGATCTGTTAATTAAATTTTGAGTACATTTACCTAAAATGAGATTGCCATTTAGCTGAATCCCTCCCCAACAGACCTTGAAATATGATGGAGGTAATTAGTTAAGATCTACAAATCAGCCCGAGTTGAGACAGAGAATGATTGTGAAATTTAATTCTATTACAGATCCATCAAAAGAATGAGTATTTTTACAACTTCATCAGTAAAGTCAGTTCTTTATAAGAATGGAAGGTGGAGGCTAGAAATTAATGAAGCAAACCACATGATACAATAATATAATTTGATGACTGCAATGTGAGCAGAGACTATGCATATAGCTTATCATTCATTCTCACCACTAAACTCAGAGTAGTAGACAATCTTACCCTAATGCAATAGACAATCAGAGGACATGGGTCAAGGTAAAAGAAGGTGCATTTCCTGCATGTACACTGACAGATGAATGGATAAAGAACACATGGTATTTACATGCAATGGAGTACTACTCTGCCATCAAGAATAATAAAGTTGATTTATGTGCAGGAAAATGGATGCAACTTGAGACTATATGTTAAGTAAAATAAATCAGCACACAAGTTTAAATATCACATAGCTTTTCTCTTATGAGAAATTCAAAGTATAAATAAATAGCAAAATAAAAGACAGATAATAGGAAATAGGGAGATAAATCTTTTACAAACAGAAAGGGGACCAAGAGATGGGCAAAAAGAGGAACATGATGGGAAGGGGATGAAAGAATGAAAATGCGTTATGTACATGCACTAACTACCCATCTTGAATGTAATCAGTATGTACTACAAGCATGTACTAATAAAAAATAAAATTTGAAAAAAAATAGTGTCAGCTTCATTGGGGTGGGGCTGGGTTGGATTCTTTGTCACCCAGAACATAACAGGTTCTCAACCAGTCGAGGTGCACTGGGGTAGAAGAGTTCAGAGTCAACCCCAGTTAGTTTGGTGTCACAGCTTATGTGCTCTGCTCAAGAACGCCTAATGTCCCCTCTCCTAGGAACACAGGAAAGGCATCAGCAACTGGCACTTCTTTGTCTTTCCGAAGCCCCAGGGACTGGTAAACTAACGGCTTCGGCAGGACCATACCACAGCTAAGATCTCCTGGGTGGGCCGTGTGGGGAAAAACACTTCTTCTCCAAGGGACCGGCTGATCCAGGTATGGACAGAATGGTTTTTAAGTAAATTACAGTTTTAAACATTCATATTCAAAAAAGTGAATCATTGCAATGTCCACAGTAAAAAAAAACTAGCTATGTAAATGACAAAAAGCCCACATAATAGTAAATATAATTTTAAATATATATTAAAAATGAAAGATTTTCAAGGTGCAATAGATTTTAAAAAGTTAGTATGTTTGGTATTTCATATTTTAAAAAGTAATAAGACTAAAGCAAAACATGATCATACATCATGAAAACACTATGGGAGCTGCATGGTTTCAATCTAGAATGTCCCCCTAAAGTCTCGTGTGTCTACAGTTGGGGCTTTTAGAAGGTGACTGGATCACAGGGGACACTGTACTCATCAGAGAATTGATCCATTTGACGAGTTCTCATAGCTAAATGTGTTGTTAGGAGGTGGGGCCTGCTTAGCAAAGGTATGTCACTGGGAGAGAGTACATCTCCTTCCATAGCTCGCCCCTTCTCTCTCTCTGCTTCCTAGCTGCCATTAGGTGAGCAACTGCCCTCCACTTAGAGGCTGGCCCTTAGAGCCAGCTGACCACAGACTGAAGCCCCTGAACCATGAGCCAAATTAAATCTCTTCTCCTAGAAGTTGTATGTACCAAGTCCTGTGTCTCAGAAATGAGAAAACTAATACAGTACTGTGCATAGGGCCAGTCTGAGAGAAGCTGCGTAGGCCACAACCAGCAAGTCCATGGGGTGGAGCTGCCCAGGCCTTTTGGAGTTCACTTCTGGCTATAACCTGCTCTGGGTGGTGGACATGGAGCTATAGGATTTAATGTTTCTCCTGCTGCATTTTGGTCTAGCTTTGGCCAACTTCCTTTCTATCCTCCTATTTTTCCCTTTTAACCTGTGCCATTGTACACTGGAAGTATTTAACTTTCTTTGTTATTTTTATAGAGGCTCATCTAAGAGCTTCCCTCTTGAGGCTCAGAGAAGACTTTGAACCTTTCGATAATGCTGGAACTGTTACGACTTTGACAGTTCTTAGAGATGGACTAAATACATTTCCATAACGAGATGAATATGACACTTTTGGAGGCTGGAGTACAATGTTATGTTTTGGATCTAGATGTCCCCCAAAGTCTCACTGTTCAGAGGTTTTGGAAGGTGATTGATCAATGCAGAGCAACTTACCTGCTTGACTTCATCGGCTGCTCATACGGGGTCTGTTGGATGGCATACTCCTGGTACCCCCTCCGCAGCACCAGGTCAGGGGCAGCAGACTCAGGATTTGCTGCTCCTACTTCTGGAGGCCCAGCCTCCACTGGGATAATCTTGGTAGCACCTGAGGTTGATGCACAATGCACTGGTTACTGCATGGCACGGAGGGCACCAAGCCCAACCTGGCAGAGTCAGTGGTACCTGGGGGCATCACCTTATCGTGGCATTCCCAAGCAGCACAGCAGCTTTCCTTCACTGACATATTCTGCACATGAGGAGTGTGAGTGAGTGTGTGTGTGTGCGTGTGTGTCTGAGGAGCAAGGGTTAAGTTTTCTAAACATCTGTTTAAATGACCCCTTCAGGTACACTCTCACTGGATTATTAAACACACATCCACACATGCACGATATATATAAAGCTTGCAGGGCTGTACAAAGACCTACATGTTAGGCTTTAAGTAAACGTAAAGCAGCTTTAAGACAGCATATAATGGCAGGACAGAAGATAAGTAGGAATTCGAACTACACATGGGGTCTGGTTCCAAATATGATATTACCTTAACATCTCTGGGTCTGTTTCCGGTCTATGAATTATTTCATGGTACAGTGTAAAAATCTCAAGGGTCAGCTTTGCTTCTGCATCTCTACAGTGTGAAATGACCAAAGCCCTCCTACAGCGGTGGACAGCTGTATGTGGGTGCATGTGCCTGGGTGTGCAGGTACGTATGCAAAGGTGTATGTAAAGTGCTTTAAAGAAAAGTTCCAATCTAGCCCTTGCTTCAGAAACAGTAAAAGGAATAAACTGCTGCTCTTTCACCCTTGCTTACACAAATCTCAAAATGCTACCATTCATTTTTTTTTTTTTTTTTTTTTTGGAAATATGATGTTTTTTTCTGGTGTCCATGGG